TTTTTTTATTTCATTACTAATGCAGACTTATATATTCACTGTCGCCTTTAATCGAAAACAAAAATCTATTTATAACTTTTTATTCTAATTTTCCAACGGCTAAATGTTTCGGTTGCATGGTTATAATAATTCACATAAATTTGTTGGCGACTCGTGATCGCCAAGGTATTATTTTAACTCTATATTGATATGCTGGTTGGCCTTGTTTTGGCTATGCTATATTTTAATAAATCGCCAATTTTGGATCTCCTACCCATGCTCCTGTGTCCGATCGGAACAAATTACACGTACTTTTTAATTTGGCTTTTGACTAGGCAGGTTGTGGGGGACTTGTCTCCCATGGCCTGTCCTAATTAATATTATTATACAAAAATTGATTCAACTGAAATTCTTATGAATGATTTTTTATATTTTGTAACTCGAGCTCTGCAAATATACTACTAAATAAAAGCCTTTCTATTAATTCTAGTCCGGCTCAACTATTATTTTCATCACCCTTCTGTTTTCATGTATTCTTCAACTGGCCCACTATACCAATGCAAACTCCACCCACACCTTAATATTCCAACACCATCTCACCATAATTGGCACCCTGAATAATATCTATCTTCATAGACCCTAAAGCTAAAGATTTTTTTAATGGCATTTTTAGTCTATTTTTTGTCGAAATGTGCAAGTTTAAAACGATATATATAATAGAGGGTTGCTACAAACTTTTAGGGTAGTTAATATCATCAGGATTAAAATTTCATAGACCACGATACCCGAAGACCATGGATTAGGAACCATTGTTTTATTAGTTTAATAAAGTCTCAGCATAAAATTCAATAATTGCGTTATAGTTTGATTCATTGCCTTATAATTGTAATTATATACACTTATTTGTTAATGCATACCGGAAATGCTGTCGTATTCGACAAGGAGTGCTTACCTATTATAGCCCGTTCAGAAACACACGAAAGAAATAGTTCTTAATATTTAAAAAAAAACGCCCCTATCGGCGTATGATGATATTTCCAGGCATGAGTTCCTGTCTGATTTTAATTCTGATGATCTGCCCCAACTCCCGTAGAAGTTTGTCGCAACATTTATGTGACCCCCCTGTTATATATAACGTTTTTAAACTTGCACATTCCGACAAAAAATAAACAAAAATGGCATTTGAAAAAACTGCAGCTTTCAGAAAGAAACCGATTGCAGATTTAAAATCAGCGGATTAAAAATACGAAGAAAAAAAAATCCACTAAAAAACATGATATAATAAAAAATAATAAAAAAAATTGTTTCCCAGCATAATTTCTGTTTTAAACTTAAGAATAGTTAAAAAGAGTAAAAAGTAGAAAGAAAGGAAAGAAAAAATAAATAAATTATTTCCTAGTAGTAATCGAAAACTTTATTTCTGAACTTTGTATTATCCTCTATACATATTACGTATATTATTCAAGGCACTCTCCGCTACAACTATATCAAATTTTGCAATGTGATTTTTTGGTGGGGAGCCTTCAAAGTCTGTGCTTTTGAATTCTATAAATAATTGAACCATCCAAAACAACTGTGCAGTAAATGTATTTAAAAGATTTTTTTCATTTCTTTCAGGTTACCTTCCCGCCAGGTTTGTGATTTCGTTTCTGATTTTTTGTGGCATGTTCTTAGAATATTCACACAGAGTATGCATAAGTGTGACAATTGTCGCAATGGTCAACCAATCTGCATTTGATGTACCAAACAACACATCTGATGCAGATAACACCTGTCCAGATACCAATAATGTTAACTCCACTTCACCAGAAAAACAAGTAAATATGAAAAGGAAATTGTAACTAACCCATGCTTCCGAATCTGACGCCATATACGTGTATAAAGAGTTAGTACGCTTTTTCTTTGAAAATAAACCCAGAATTCAAAACCTATATCTAAGCCCCCGTAAAAGGATGGACATGTGTGCAACCTCCAAATTCTCTTTTACACTACTTTTGTCCAGAAATGAAAGTCCATTGAAAGTCCCACTGATCTTTTTCCTTTTTACTTTCATTTTTCATTCGTTTCTCCTCAAACCTTTCAGCTTACCAGTCCGGATTGACGTCATCAGCAATTCAACTTGGCAAAAAGCCAAAGCAAATCGGATGCTAACAGCGAAAGCTATTTAAATTAAGCTAGTGTGCTGAACTTTTTTCGTTCATTTGTTGTTTTATGAGGAAAAATGAACGATAAAAGAAAATCTGTTTAAAAAAAAGTTTTCAAATTGTCCTTTTTATGTTTTTCCTTTTCAATTGTTATTCTTAAGGCGTTTGATTTCAATTGTTCTTTTGTTCACTCATGTTTTATAACTCCAATTTCGGCATGTTTTACGATCTATCGCTATTGCTCGACCATCTATAAATTTTTTTTGAGGGAGATGTTCGGCTAGAATTTTGAAAAGTTAACGGATTAATTAAATGGGCAGGCCACATTATAAGAATGGAGGATAGCAGGACAACCAAAAAAGTTTTCTGTGCCAGGCCAACAGGTACAAGAAAAAAGAGGACGATCAAACCTAAGATTTTTAGACTGCCTTGAAAAGGACCTACAAATTATAAAGATATTAAACTGGTGATCCTTGGCTAAGGGAAGAATGTCTTGGCATAGGCTTGTTGAGAAGGCCAAGGCCCATCCTGGGCTGTCGTGCTAATGAGGAGAAGAAGAAGAAGAACGGGTTCAACCTCTTTTACTTTCGAAAATTTCCCAAAAATTCCGAGCCTACTTTCAGAAATATATATTTGTAAAATTTACTTCAAAAAGTAATATAAAAATTAATATGTTTTTATTTTAGGCTATCCATAATTCATTTATTAGATTGTTCGCTGGTTAATCCTTTTTCAGAACAACAAAACAGTGTTCTCTCGTAATGGAAGATGGTTCCCTCTCTTTGGGTTCCCTTATAATGGGTTCCCCCTAAATGGACATCGTAAACTGATTTGGAAAGTCAGACGTGTGATTTATTGCCCAACACTTATATTGCTGAAAATAGTTAAAACACATACAATTTCAAATGCAATCACTATGCACTTATTGCAAGTAAATGCGTATCTTTATTTTTTACTTTTTTTACTGATATCTAATTTTGACTATTATTCCAAAAAACTGAAGTTTCCGATTTTCTGTATTTTTAAGATTATATTTCCTTTTAAAATATATAATATTTATATTGATATATTTCAGATACTTAAATAAAATCTATTAAATTATGTATTTAAAGTTCATAGCTTAAAAAAAATTTGTACTGAAGGATTTATTTATTAAGGTTTATTTTTAAAATCGTAAGCTTTTTTTTATGGAGTATATTTGTAACTGTACGTTTTTATATGTTAGTTTAAAACAATTTGCACCAAAAGCAGGCGCTGATTTCTTTCAAATATAGAAATAACTATAATTTGTATGGCCATATTATGATTTGAGCTTTATTTACTTCAGAATTTAGAATTACTTAAAAAATAAATAGTTGCTTTATGAATTTGAAATGAAATATTATTTTAGAAATTATCGATTTTTTTTTCTTCAGAAATGCACTAAATACTAAGTCCCATATTGAATAAAATATAATGTAAAATTTTTCCAACAGGGTGACTATATCTGGAGTCCCTACACTCAAGGTATTATTTTGGGAGCTTACTTCTATGGATACGTGTGTACTCAAGTGTTTGGAGGCAGACTCTCTGAAATGTTAGGTGGCAAATGGCCTCTCGGATTCGCCATCTTAATTGCCTCACTACTCACTCTTCTTACTCCAGTTGCAGCTGATATAGGAGTCCTTGCAATTGTTATCCTTCGAGTTGTGATGGGACTAGCACATGTGAGATCAGTGTCATAAAAAACTAATATGACATCTTAAATACTTCATTCAGATATAATTATTCTTTACTCAGAAATATCGCATTAAATTATAGCAAAATGTGCCCTGAGGAAGACTTTTACTTTTTCCCATTAATAGTTTTCTATTTCATATTATTTTATTACTATTATTTGTATTTATATATATATATATATATNATATATATATATATATATATAACATTAATAATGTTGCAAATTATTTGCACCGTATTAAAGTTCACGATATCGATACTAACGTTTAACATTGAACCAAATTTTCTTAGAGGGTGAGTATTTAAATACCCTTTTTACTTTAAATGTTTGATATTAATGTACCCATAATGATTTAGGTGTGAACGTACCAACTGCTTAGGTCCTGTTGGCTGTATTTCTTAAACTCAATTACGAGATGCTATGTTTCAACTTGAATGGGAACATGGTTCAGTTTAATACACCAATGGTATTACAACTTATTTGCTCCGCATTATAGTTCAAGATACTGATATTAGCTTTTAACATTGAACCGAATATCCTTAGAATGTGCATATTTAAATTGCATTTATACTTTAAATGTATGGTATTAATGTACCTATGCTTATTTAGGGTTTTTGCTTACCTACTTCTTACGCTCTGTTAGCTCAGTGGGCACCACGTGAAGAACAAAGCACTCTTGCGTCTGTATACATCATAGGCGACCATGTTGGTACTATAGTATCTATGCCTCTAGCTGGATACTTGTGCAAATATGGTTTTGCTGGGGGTTGGCCGTCTGTTTATTATACTCTTGGTAAGTATCACATATATGTCTTTTTTTTAATTTATTTCACCTAATTAGTATTTTTGCAGTTGTCTGAAACCAAGCATCAGTTTTTCTTTTTAGTACGTAACGCAATCTTTTTTTAAAATTATCATTGGTTTTACATAATTTAGTTTTGCATTATCGCATTTTAAAGTCGTAATTATAAATAAAATAAAAGCGTAGTTACCGATAATTTAAGAAATGCTAATTCGGGGACGGAGCCCACACGTGTCATCGACGCTGATAATTGAGCTTAACTGATATAAACAAAGCTGAATGCTAGCAAACATCACTAATATTATCTTTTAAAAAATTTGCAGAAAAAAAAACAGTTTAACAATAGCTAATGCTAAACCTGAAGAAAAATTCATTTTTCGAACGTCTGTTTTGGATGAACTAGTTGAAAATGTTAAGATCGGAGGCTAAAAATTGCTCCTTTTATCCATTGTCTAACTTTCAGGACGTAAGTACTAACGGTTCTGTTTTATAAGACAAACTTTTTATTTTGTAATACTGGGCATATTGGTAAGGCATCACTTGTCTGTTGCATTTTCTGAATATTTATGAAAAATAATCATGTTTAAATGAAAAGAGAAGTCTAAAACTCCATCGAAATCTGATAAATCACATAACAGAAACTCGTGTGTGATAAACATCAAAACAGGTTTAATTAAAGGTTGAAACTTAAAGTTGTTTTAAATAATCGGCATTTTGATTCTCTCTATTACTATTTATTACATATTATTATCTCGAAATCATTTTTGTTTTTACAATAAAAATATTGTTAGATTAAAATTAAAATAGCTACTTTTCGTTGAACTCAGCAGCAAACGAAAAATTGTCAAAAAATTTAGACCTCAGCCAACTTATTTTTTTTTTTTTCATAATTTGTTTTACTATTTTTTTTTAAAAAAATTACTGAACAAAATAAACGTTCACAAAAAATAAATAAATAAACTACATTAATATTGCAGTTTACTGTACTTCTTCTTAAATGTAGTGACCACAAACTGCTTTGCAATTGTATCAATCACAAACTACTTTGAAATTGTAATAACTACGTTTAGATTTCCTTATCGTGATCTGTGGCAAAATAACCGCCAAGTCTAGAAAACTCCCCGGCAGCAAAAAACTAAAAAAATAAAAATTAAAAAAAATCACAGAAAGGGACCAAGTCGAAAGGTATAACTTGTAGCCACCCCGAGCAAATATCTACATTTTTTCTTAAAATTTGCAAGCTCAAAATCTATTTGGTATCTTGGCAATTATAGTTGGCGCAACAGATCACGATACGGAAATATACCCACTACAATTGCCAAGGCACCAAATAAATTTTAAAATTGCCATTTAGAAAATAAAAAACTTTAAAAAATTTTGATCGCAATTACCGTCTTTTTGAACAATTCGTGATCGCAACGAACTATAGGGGGCGTTGTTGTATGAGACGAATACCTGCGATTTCTATATGAATAGTCATTCAGTTACTCTAGAGACGTCTTTAATGTAGCATGTAGCATTGCAAAGTTCCTTCTTGATTGTGTCTAATCAAATTTAAAAAAGAAAAATGTTTGATATTCTTTCTTATGCAAACGAAAACAAAATAGTATCTCTTTTTTTTGGAGCAGGAATATCCAAAACACATCGGAAAAATATTTGTACATAAACAGAAAAAAATATGTATATTCTTATAAGAGTTAAAACCTAATACCCGAGAAATAGTTTTACTAAATTTAATGATGTAACATGAAAGGCCTATTTAAACTTTACATTCCATAGTTTTAAAAATCATATTACTTCAAAAATTTAAATGAACAAAAAGTATACATAAGCCTCATAATTTTATGAAATTTAATTTTGTAAAAAAAAGGTTTTTTGACAACAATTTTTATCAAAAAATTTCAAGTTTCGATAAAGATCATTATTTAGAAACTGTGGCCCTTGCTAGATCTCGGGGGGTTTAAAATAAGGGAAAAAGCTTAGAGCCAAATATTTTATTAGTACACAAATAGCACACGGACAAACAAACATAAATTTAATTACTTAAGAAAAGAGAAATAAGAGGAAGGTCCATTCAGTTCGATGTCTGAGCATCCACTGCCTTGTACATGGTGGCGCTGTTGTAGCTTAGTTATGTGGTTGCTACAGTCTCCCCCTCTGGCTCCGACGACGTTCCGGCGAGGAGACAGAAAGAGCAACACTTGGATGTGGATTTTGGGAAAGGGTATTAATTTGGGGTCTTTTTTGGTCGACCTCGCTTACGAAGCGGATATATTGGCTGAGTGTCAGTATCAGGAGTTTGAACGTAAGGACTCAAGGAAGAGGTATAAGTTCCGACACAAACATTGGGTTCATTAGGAGTTGAAACTTCATAACTTGTTGGTGAACGTTGGGAAAGTATTATATAAGGACCGTCACGACGAGGTGCAAATTTAGCTGATTTTTGTTTAGCTTTGTTACTTACAGGGTGTGAAGCAACCCACACGCGATCACCAGGTGCATATTGAGCAACTTGTCTTTTTCTTTTATCGGCATATATTTTTCTTCGATCTTGCTTCTTTTCAATAAAATCCTTAATTTGTGTCGAATATTTCGAAAATCTTTTTAAGTATGGTGTAATTTCTTCAACAAAATTGTCATTGTGAATAACTGGTCTAAGGTCATGTTTTATGTCATCGAGAGTTCGTAGTTCTCTGCCGAACTGCAGAAATGCTGCAGTTTGTCCTGTAGTTTCGCACTTTGTAGTATTAAGCGCAAAACGTATCATCGGAAGTTTCTCTGACCACATGGCATGATCATCACCCACAAGAATAGAAAGTCTGGGTTTCAAATCTCGATTCTTGCGTTCAACTGGATTGGCTTGTGGATAATATACAGGAGTTAGTATTTGTGTAATGTCAAGTAAATAACAAAGTTGTTGGAGTACGGCACTTACGAACTGAGTTCCATTATCACTAATAAGTCTACGGGGAAGGCCATAGCGTAGAAAAACTTCTTCTAAAAGTGTCATGGCACATTCTCGAGCAGTGGCAGATTTGAGAGAAAATAGTTCAACCCATTTTGTAGTTGGGTCTTCGATAATGAAAATCCATTTTTTACCGTCAGCGGTTTCAGGCAAGGGACCGAAAAGATCGATCGACAATGTTTCGAATCTTTGGGAATAAATTGGAGTTCTTAGAAGACCGGCTGGTTTTTGGTTACTTGGTTTGTATCTATTGCAATCTTTACAGTTTTTAACATAATCCGTGATGTACTTGCGCATTCCAGGAAAGTAATATCTGGTTGAAATTCTGTGAAATGTGCCCTCTGCACCATAGTGTCCTGCGGTTGGGGCATCATGATGTTCCTTCATCACTCTTTCTCGTTCGTGAATGGGGACGACTAACTGCGCTTCTTCTGAATCAGAATCTGGAGCGTAACGGTATAAGACACCTTGGTTCATGACATAACCTCTTTGAGTCCAATTTGCAAAATTTTCGTCTCTTGTACCACTTTCAAAGCTGTCTATTATTTTCTTCACATCTTCATCCTTCAGCTGTTCTGCTCGAACATCACTGGCTCTTTTAGATGGTAAGTCCACGATGATTGTGCAGATTTCACAGGTCGCTTTTTCATGCGCACAATTAGGACGGGAAAGCATATCCGCAATGACATTCGCTTTACCAGGGATGTATTCAACTTTTAAGTTGTAGGATTGTAGCTGTAATGCCCATCTTGCAAGACGACCTGTAGGGGATTTAAGGCTCAGAAGCCATTTCAAGGGTTGGTGATCAGATGCCACAGTAACTTCCGCTCCTTCGATATATCCTCTAAACTTTTCGAGTGCCCAGACCACAGCAAGTGCTTCCCTTTCAGTTGTGGAATAATTTCGTTCTGCTGGGGTTAGCAAACGGCTTGCATACTCTAACGGATGCTCATCTGGACAGTGTCCCTGAAGAAGAACAGCACCTAATGCATAATTGGATGCATCGGATCGTATGACAAAAGGTTGTGACTCATCAAGTTGTTTGAGAACTGGTGGAGAAACTAAACATTTCTTAAGGAACTCAAATCAATAGTTGACATGTATACTGTATGTTTGGCTTTGTGGAGAAGGTCGTCCATACGAGGTAATGGGTATGTATCTGCTTTGGTGACCGCATTAAGCTTGCGGTAATCGATGCATAAACGGAATTCTCCATTTGGTTTTGGAATAAGAACTGCAGGTGAGGCATATGGAGAGTCACATTCCTCCATAACTCCTGTAGCAAGGAGTTTTTCAAT